TAGGGAAAATGAGTTCATATTCTTTGTGAAAACAAATATGTACATTTATTTTCACCAAGGTGTTACTTTAAATAAGCCCTTCTAGTAGTAGAGAAATGTAATTTCTGTAGGAAATTGTTAAAGGAGAACCGACGGAGGAAAATCTCTAAATGGTTTCCTTTTTGTATCCCTGGATGATGAAGGCTTGAAGTTGACAGTGTAATGATGAATCAGCACTGTAGACTTGTTTAAATGTCTGCTATCCTGGATTTTGTGGTGTCCCTCAGAGTAATATGAAGAGTTCTTACTGTCTGGATTGTGATCTGATATGTGTACTGTCTATTTTTACACTCTGAATTGTAATCAGTTTAGTCTTGTATGATACTGCAAAACCTTGGCTCAACAAATATCCAGAAAGTTTCAAGTATGGTACTGCATTAAATAATTCTTGCAGGAATTTTGTAAAGAAAAAAAAAACCCTTAAATTAAATATCTGTGAGGGTTAATGTAAAATTTTCAGTATTAAATTGTAGAACAGCCCAGATTGGAAGGGTCTTAAAAAGATCATCTGGCCCATCCTTTCCTGGGAAGGGGAGACTAGATGAGATTATCTAGCACCCTGTCCAGTCACAAATTGAAAACCTCTTGTGGTGGGGATCACATCCCTGGGAAGGTTGTTCTGGTGAATGATTATTCTCACTGTAAAAAATTCCTTTCTTATATCAAGATGAAACCTTTCCCGACACAACAAGTGCGAAGTCCTGCACCTGAGATGACAAAACCAAAGAGCCCAGTACAGCCCCAGATCTGTGTGGCTGGGGAGCAGCCTTGCTGAAAGGGACCTGGGGGTCCTGGTGGACAACAGGCTGAAGGGGAGTCAGCAGAGTGCTGCTGAGGCACCAAAGGCAAATTGGATCCTGGGCCACATTCACAGGGGCATTACTAGCAGAGTAAGAGATGTGACCATCCCACTCTACTCAGCACTGGTCAGGCCGCACCTAGAGGGCTGTGTCCAGTTCTGCTCTCTACAATTAAAATTCAAGTATTGAGGTTTATATATATGTTAAAAAAACCCCCACCAAACCAAAATACTGTATGAATGTCAAAGTGTAAAAAGAGCTGCATTTCTATAATAGGCGATATTATTGCCATGTTCAAGGCAGGATAGACTTGGACCTGTCCCAACACTAAGTGCTACTTCAAAACAACCTCTTGTGTTTCCTTTACTCCTTAACATCATAAGAGCAAAATAATTTTGAAATCACACCATTCTAGCTTTTTGTAGAGTTCTTCTGGCTTAAAAGTAGTCTTGGCTAAATTAAATTTCAGAGGTCTTGTTTCTGATTTATGGGTAATAACCACTACAGGAAAAATAGGATGGAACTTTAAAAGGTCATGTAGTCCAAACACATCTGAAGGAAGTTTAAAGTAAAGTCCCTTCCCTTCTCCGAAATTAATTGCAGTTGTTTTCCCTACGTCGGGAATTCATGGTGTTTCATGCATTTGTGAGTTAGATTTGCAGGACTTTTATTACTCAAGTCTTGGCATAACAAGCTTAAATGCTGTATTTTACAGAGGAGAGGAACTTAAAGCTAATTTTTGTCTTAAGTTCAGAGAAACTTTTTTTTGTTTTGCTCTGTTTCATTTGAAAAATGGAACATGGGCTGACGGGAGAGCTATACCTACACTGCAGATATAGTGGAAGAATCTGTTTAGGGTGATCACTATGTAAGTCCTTTAGTGTGATTTTGGTTTTAACCTAATTTCTCACTGTCTGAAAACCCTGCTGGGCTTCTTGCCATGTTGCCGAATAATTGAAGCTCTGTTAAGCTGTAGAAAACTCTACCAACAGTAGCTGAACAACAAATGCATTTTAAACACTAGCTTGCTTTTTTTTTGTTTTTGTTTTTGTTTTTTTTTTTGTTCTTGTTGATTTGCTAGCCCTTTCTCTGAGCCAGTCTGCCCTAAAAGTGATTCAGAACTAGAAGTTAAACCTGCTGAGAGCTTGCTTCGATCTGAATCTCACATGGAATGGACATGGGGAGGATTCCCAGAATCCACCAAGGTAAATTTATTTATTATCTCAAACTTTGTGAACAGAGTTTTGGAATATCTAAAATTGTGTCTTGAGAGAGAATTGGAAATCTGCTGCTCTTCTTCAGAGTAATTCAGATGAAATAGGAAAGTAGCACCCCCTTGTGGCTCACAGATAGTCGAATTTATTGAGTTCAAAAGTTAGTCAACAAAGTAATTCCAGAAAACCTAGCAGTAAAAATCTGAAATTTTTGAATTTGTAATTAGAAACTGAAGAAAGCAATTTTAGAAACTAATTTCCTTTATTTTAGGTTAAGTTCTAGTTCATTCTAGCGGAACTGTAGCCTTGATAGAGTAAATTTGGTATCTAACATGACAGCTGGTGACAGAAGCCCTGGTACAGACACACTTAGCTTTTTTCTTGCCATAGTTGGGTCAAGTCAGCACCTCCTCTCTGACAGTTTCTTTACTGAACCTGTAAATAAGCTAGTATGAAGCTTCTATTCCAGGGAACTTTGCCAATAAGGTGGCGCATATTTTATGTTTCTAAAATAGATGTTTAAATTCTTGACCAGTTTACTTGTGACCAGGACTTGTACCATGGGTGCATGTTTAATGTTTAACCAGAATAAAACGAACATGTGAACTGAAAGGATTAACTAGAGTTTTGTTTTTCAGATAAGCAAGAAAGAGAAACTGGAACATCCCAGAACAGCTACCATTACTCCATCAGAGAAGACTCATTTTAGGGTCATCCTCAGCTCTGATGAAGTTGAAGATGATGATGATGTGAAAGATTCTGTCCATACAGTACTGAAACCTGAGCCAAGAACTCATCCTCTGCTTAAGCAGATGGATGTTAAAGATTCTCTTGCTTCTGCAGTCGTAGAACCACAAGATCCGTTGCCATTAGATGCTGATCATCATTCCAGACTGTTGGCAGACCCTTTACCAGAAGCAAAGCCAATAGTAAAAATTGACTCTCCTTCAAAAAAGAAAGGTATATAATAAAGCTATTTATTCTTTCCTCCAGTGTGATATACCAAATTTGAGGGCATAGTGGAAGAATTATAAATGTGCCTTTTCAATTTTTGCTAAAGTCTTATCTGACTAAAACTATAATTAAGCTCTTGGATTTATCAGTGCTACAAGTAAGTCTGAATCTTCCACAATTACATTTGTATTTAATGCGTCTGGATAGCTTCATTTTAGTGATCTTAATTGCTAAACTTAACAGGGGTGCATAAGAGAAGTCATCATCAGGGACCTGACGATATCTACTTGGAGGACCTAAAGGCTTTGGAACCTGAAGTTGCAGCACTTTACTTTCCCAAAAGGTAATTTTGAATTAAGGCTCTATGGATCTAGGGTTATATTGCAGTTGCACTATGTGAGTTATTACATGTCTGATTTAGGTGTTTATGCGGCAGTTCTGATAAAAAGAATTGGACTTCAGGTTTCTAGGCTTTTGTGGAGTAATCAGTACTGATCTCATTGTGAAAATCTGTCTGATTTGACAAGAAACACATAGAAAGATCGCATGGGAGGTCATTACTGAGTTTCCATCTTTGTGGAGCCTGTATGTTCTGCAAATATAGAAGTGGGATAAGTTGCACACTCCTTTTGCACCAGTACTCTATTTTGCCATATTGTTAGCTCTAGATAAGCATGCATCAGTTTATTTTTGGCATGCTCTCTACATCCCTTCCAACTTGTTTTTGATATAAAAGAGACCAACAAAAAAAATCCCACAAGATCTTCATACAAGGCAGCTCAGTCTCAAAATTCACTCTTGCTTGGGTTTTTTTTTATGACATCAGAACCTTTTATACTCCTAAAATACTCTCCAAAAGAATAGCTAGCTAGGAAGACCTTTTGAAAAAATGCAGCTTAATAAGCAAGAAATGTCTATTGGTTTATGATAAAACTAAAATTGTAAACTTTTCAGTACTTAGTGGTTACGTTACTTGGGATCGAACTAATAACTCTAACTTCGGATGACAATGTGATTTTTTTTTTATTTAAATATCTTCTCTATTGTACTTTTTCCAAACACACAGTGTTCTGAAAACATCAAGCAATGTCTTTTTCCCTTTTATTCTTATTCTACAGCTTTCTGGTAAAGATTGAGGAGCACAGTATTGTTCTGCAAAAATAGAATGTAGAGAATCTTTTCCTCGTTAAAATCCAATTTTGTTGCAGGCAAGAGAAATGTAATTATTTCCCAATTTATGTGAATGTTAGTAGAACTGGGAACTGTCAACCTACCAGTATTATGAAGGGTTGGGGGTGTGTGTTTGTGTCTAGTTTTTGCTTGGTTGGTTTTAAATTTATGTTGTAAAATGATGAAGTACTTAAAAGAGATGCAACAGCAAGATCATTCTTTTTGAGTAATCACATGGTGTGTTCTGTAACCTAAAATCTATACTTTTTTTTTTTTTTTTTTTTGCAAGTGAAATACTTACCAAAAACATGGACTTTTTCTCTTTAGTGATTCTGATCCAGGCTTCAGGCAGTGGACAGAGTCAGATACCCTTTCAGGTTCCCAGTCACCCCAGTCCGTAGGAAGTGCTGCTGCTGATAGTGGTACAGAGTGCATGTCTGATTCTGCTATGGACTTGCCTGATGTTACACTTTCACTTTGTGGAGGTCTTAATGAAAATGGAGAGATTTCTAAAGGTATGTGAAAGACTAAAACATAAACAGTAATAAAGCTCAGGCAGATAAATGAAGTGGCTTGAGTGCTCCAATTTCCACCTTGCAAAGCTTTGGCTTATTATTATGCTTGTGTTGAGAAAAGGAAATGGATAATCTTTCATTTTCTAAAGTTCTCAAGCATTTGACAAGCAGAGATAGCAGCACTTGATGTCTTGAGAAGCTTTCTATCTCCTTTTTTGCACTACGTTTTGCATATCTGATCAGCCACACTTGTTTTTGACTGCAATTGCTTGCTTTGTCCTTTATAAACTTTCATAATTCATATTCTTTCCAATTGCCTGATAATTTTTCTTTTTTTTTTTTTTTTTAGAAACTTTTACTATTATCTTGGACTATCTTTTCTCCTGCTCTACTTTTCCTACCCTAAATGTTGGTTAACCTTTAGATTTTTACCAGCTGATTCTTCTCTCTTAATGCTCTGGTTAAATCTAATATTGAAGCTGTATGCCTTTTTGAGCGAGCTTCTAGGAGCGCATAATCTTCATGATCATGTACTGCAGTGTTTTTACTATTACTTTTTTACTGGTCCTCCAGACTCTAATACATCAAGTTAAATTGAAATGCTTATTAATAAAAGCTCAGAACAACGCTTTTGGTAACATGGTAGTAATCATAGAATCATAGAATGGTTTGGAT